GCCTTTTCAGTTTTGTAAAAAGCAAAAGAAAATGATAAAAACTTCAAAACTTAAAATCCTTCGAGATGTAGTTATGTTACTACATCTACTAGTTAGGAAAATTTAAAAACTTAAATTTGAACATGTTTTGCAAAAAATGTAGGGAAAATGTAAAACGGCTATAACTTTTGCATACGATGTCAGAAAAAAAGTATAATATATCAAAATGTTCAGCACGAAAATCCGCATCCGATTTTGACAGCCTACGACCTGTTTGCAAATTTGTAGAATCCTCAAATTCCAAAAGGAAAAAAAGTTATGCTCAAATTTTAGTTTGTTTTAAAAAAATCGTTAAATCTGGTCAAACTATGGTCAAACTACTTATTCAAGAAGTATTAGTGTTACTAAATAATTATTCAAAAATATTAGTGTTACTAAATAATTATTTCAGTTTTTTTGAATTTTGGTCAAATCTGGTCAAACTGTGGTCAAACTACTTATTCAAGAAATATTAGTGTTACTAAATAATTATTGTTTTTTGAACAATAGTTTTATACTCAAACAGTGAAATGTGTGACTTCATGCTCAAGCTAAACTCCTGAGGGTTAATAGGATTGACATCTTACTATTGTCAGCAAACCAATAAGTGCAAACTTGGAAACGAGGGAGAATAGAACCCGGAAGTTAAGCATGCTCAGGCTGGGGGAGTGGGAGGATGGGTGACCGTCCCGGAAGTTAGATGATTTGAAATGATGAGGGGTGATTAGAGATTAAATTGAGCAGTGATGAGAGATGATTAGAGATTAGAGGTTAAATAATTCAGAACCAACCGGGACTAAAGGTGGACCTCCAGGCAGCGGCCATGTGGAGGGCCTTTAGTCCCGGTTTGTAATAAATGAATCTTTGCATGTTACCACACTTAAGTTACTACCCACAATGAAGATGGTAATATAGTCTAGGGATATGTGTATGTTACTCTTCATTGTGGCTAGTCAATCCTCCTTTTGCTGGCTAACACAATGATCGATGGGGAGGTACAAAGCTGGGAGAATCGAGAGTTTGCTAATTAGTTTTCAATGTCTGCAGTTATAGAATTACATTATAAAACGCAAACTAATCTAACACTGAAAATAAACTTATTCCTCCGATTCTGACACCGTGTTAGTACAATTTTGTATTAAAATTATACTAAAATAGCGTCAATTAATTTGAATTGGATGGAGTTCCTGCTTGGTCGCTCACCCATGCGGCCGGGATGCACTGTGGATCGGTGTGACGATGCTTGTCCGTTTGTTCCCTTCCCTTCTCAACGGTAGACGATCTAGTAGTGGCCGGCGGCAGCGAGTAGGTTTTCTCGATCGCAAGACTGGGGTCGAGCAGATTGGAAACCAAGGTATTAGAGGAGACACAACTACCGTGTACGCTTTTTTTTACTTTGAGACAAACAACTACGGTGTACTCCTACGTGAGAGTAGTACTTGAGCCTGGGCCCTTTCCTTCTACGGTGGGTTGTTCTTTTTTATTTATTTTCTCCTGATATTTGGGCATTTGACCCGCTGCAGCAATCACATTTCCATTTTCCATTTTCCATTTCCATTTTCTACCGAAGAAACACACCAATTGACTCACCTCGACTGTTTGGCCTTCTCGATCGACTGCGTGCGATAAGAAAAGTCAGCACGGATTCAAGGACAATAATTCCATCCGCTTCATTCCAATCCATCGACGTCGACATGCGGCCATACCTGCAGCATGCATCATTGCATCTCTCGCCCGCCCGTGACCTGAGAAGGACGGGCCAGCATGTCGCACCTCTACCTACTAGTACCATCCTCCTCGTCTGCGCGGACGAGGCACGGGCACGGCCACCCCGCCACCCCCCTGCAACTCGCCTATAAGAAGCAGCGTACACACGATGCTAAGCCCAAGCTCACTCAAACACATCCAAACAACACTATCTCCTCAGTACATCAGAGCCTCCCGGTTAGCAATATGGCAAAGTGTCTCGCCGTCGCGCTCCTGCTACTGGTGGTGCTCGCGTCCTGCGAAGGGAGGGAGCTGAATGAGAAGGTTGCAGCGACGCGTGTCGTAGGTGCGGGTGGCGGCGTCGGCGAGTCTAAGGCGTTGGACTTGCCTGTGCTCGGGGGAATCGGTACGGGAACCAGCACCATTACCGGCCCGCTGGTGGTGGTTCCTGGGATCCCTGCTATTGGCCCATGATCATCTCTGGCTCATGTGCTGCCTAACAGGAAGCTAAAGCTCGCCTTGTCGCTTTAGATTCTGTAGGTAGCACCGCCGTGAAGAAAAAAGCGGGCGTTTTGCTCATGTCCATGTTCGGTACTGAGCGCCTGTATCAACTGTCATCTGTATCTATTTCCAGTTCATGTTGTCGTATTTTTCGTTTCTTGATGTGCTACATGTATCATCAATAAATAATAATTACTATGTTTGTGTGATCGTCTTCTGGGATGCAAATCTCAACTGGCTGCATAATCGATGTCCTATTTCGTCACTCTAATCACCAAGTCCCATGTTCAGAGTCGTTCATGTTCCGGGGTAGCAAATTTCGTTGCAGTAACTCCAATGCTTTGAAAGCGTTAAGGTGACTGGATCAATAGGGATATGCATGGAGCATGGGTATCTCTTATCAAGTCTCTCCCGGATTTGGAGTTTTCTTTGTGTGTGTGTGTGTGTGGGTCGTGAAATTTTTTTTGCGGGGTAAAATTTTTCATTCAATCAACTAGGAGCATTACAGTCCTTTGCCACGAGTCCAGCTACCTCGTCAGGCCCTTGCCTCAGCCATACAGCAGTCCTGGGGCCAGCGTCACCCATCTGCCCAAGAACATGGCTGACATTATTTCGATTTCTACTCACATGCAATAACACATGCTCTCTACCTCCCTCCACCAAGGGACCAATCAGTGTACTGGCATCATGAAAAATGTAGCCACTTTTGCATTATGGATTATTTGTGGGTGAAATCAAAGAGGTCACAAAAAATATCACTCATCGAGTTCATTTTAACATGTCAAATTGGAAGGTGATTGTATAGAAATTCATAAGCTATCCATATATATGACGATACATGTAAACCCCAAAAAAGTTTGAATAGCTTAATCGGGTTTGGAATCCTCAACTTTATAGCAATAAATTATATTAAATAATTTTGGGTTGGTTTGATTTTGTATTGAGAGAGATACATCATCGATGGAGATAAAAATAATTATAATAACAACATCAATGATAACATGAATACTACTAACTAACGATAATACTACATCTACGTAAGCTTACTAAACTCCTCATAAATTTCCTTAACTAACTCTCCTCCCCCTTGAATTTCAAGGGGGTGGGCCTGTTCCTCCCCTATCTCCATTACTAATCCCCCATCCGGCTGATTATGTTAACACGTAACAAAACTTTCGTAGGTGTAGCATTACTCACTAACTAATAATATATAGTTTGGAAACAGAGGCAAAAGCTTGTTTTTACATTAATTAAGAAGAATATAGCTGCCTGCTTAATTACAGGAAAATTGGGCGAAAACCGATAACATCGACGGTCAAACCCATACACAGACTCAACAAGCCAACAAGGACACTGCAGATGGCATGCCATGAAAGCCACCCGGCGAATCATCTTGCAGGCTACTCCCAAAAGAAAAAGAAGCGGAGAGGAAGGCACATACTAATGGCTAACAAACAATGAAGGCACCAACCCAACCTTGTTGCCAATGTCATCAACACCTTGGTTCCCATCTTCAGCTAGCTAGTGTCGAACCATGAATGCCGGCGTCAAAGGAGAAAGGTCCTTGCAAGGAGGCTGGGCTCAACCCATGCTCATCATTGAACGCCTCCGACAGCTCCAAAAAATTGGTCACACGTGCCAACCACAGGGGGAACGAGTCCTCCAGCTTGCGTAGTGGGTGGAGTGTTAACTCCACTAAGTTTTAAAGCTCATCACCAAACGAGTCAAGCATAGCATCACCGGACTTTACCACACCATCATGATCAACACAACCTTCACTTGAAGCTTCAAAAATCCTTTCAAACTCAGGAGCTTGGACACACATTGTGGGAGAAACAACCGAAGCCCGAGAGC